CAGCGCTCGTCTAGGTCGAAGTGCGCCTCGCCCCGGCGAGGCAGGAAGGCGTGCGCTAAGGCGCCCCCTGCAGGCGGTGCAGAGGGTCAGCGTAAATCAGCCCAAGACTCCCGCCCGTACCCGCGCAGGGAAATGCCGCGGGCTGGGTGGGTGTTTGTTTTCTGCGGCACAATTCCCTGAGTGGTCTGGGAGAAGAAAAAGTGTGGAGGGGTGAGATGAATAAGCTGTAAGGCACGGACTCCTAAGAGACAGCATGGTGTAGAATCTGTGTCTCAGCTTCCTGACTGGAAAGTGGGAATGGTGATAATGAGCTACATTTGTCTTTGTTTTGTTGAGACAGAGTCTTGCTATGTAGCCTAGGCTGGACTCAAATTCACAGTCCTCCTGTCTCAGCCTCTGAGTGCTGAGTGCTTAATGCCGCCATGCTGGCTACTTTCAAAAAGATCTGGAAGGAGGAAGAGTGGTTATCTTGAGAAGAAACATGATGGGCCCTCTGTGCTGTATGTTGTCGTGTTCGGGACGTTTTGGATCAGTCTGCACACTGAAACGTGTACACGTATTTTCTGAGTATACCTATTCTTCCCTCCCTCTACCAGGGCTCCTCTGGGGGCCATAGGAATAAGCAGAGGGAGCTGGGTGAATCAGTAATTCGCAATTTCAGTAGGGTGCAAATACAGCTTCTTAAATATAGTTTCCCAAAATAAATAAGTAAACAGTAACTAAGTAAATAGGCAGCTTCCAAGGCTTCGTCCTGCACAGGCCACTTCTGCAGGGGCAGATGACTCTGACACAGGGTCAGCAAACTCCTGCCATCATGCTGTCCTAGAAGCTTGTGAATCCTGGCTTTGGCCTCTTGAAGCCCAGTTATAGAGGGGTGGACAGAGGTGGAGCAGTCATCAAAGGGAGACCCTGATGGGGTCATGAAGGTCCAGCTTCCTAGTCTGAGTACGCCTCGAATGGTGCCAAGTCCTGGTCACCGTGGCACTCACTGGGAGACAGAAGGGCAGATTTCAGGGAGGAGACCAGACTCAAAAGGACAAAGCATCTTCCCAAGTGAGAGAGCTGTTTGAGGAGACACATGTGCTTAGTTACTGGGCTCTGTGTGGGCACAGAAATAAACATGTAACGCAGGTGTCATGGGGCATGAGTTTCGTGGAAGGATGTGTGTAGCCTCCGTGCAGTTGCTGGTAAAGCCTTCTCCCTGACCCATGGCATCAGGCTCTGCTATAGGTGGGCCTGATGGAAAGCAGGATAGGCAAGAGAAGAGGCGGACCAAGTTCCCTGGCCACACAGAGCAGAAGTCCCCAACCTGAAGCTGTCCAACCAGGTTTCCTTCCTCACCGGGAATGAGGAGGCAAACAAAGAGCCCACTCTGAGGTCCTGAAAGCCAGAATCAGGCAGAATGGAAGAGATCAGTTTACAATGCAGCCAGATGTATTCAGGGTGGGGTCAGATGAGCCAGCTGTGGCTGTGGGTTTGGGAAGCCCTTCTGTGGCAGTTAGGGGTTGAACATCTCTGACTCTGTGGCAGTCAGCTGGAGGTAGCAGTGGCTACTGGATTTTCTTAAGGTCTAGAGAATGAGAAGCACAGGCCTGTCTAGAATTGGTGTGTGACTGGGGCCTCAGAGGATTCTCCCAGATTATAGTATGCTTTAGAATTTGCAAAGCACTTTCCAAGCAGAACCTCCTCTGACTGTCCCTTCAGACATGTAGTACACAATAGGGCAGGAACCACTGTTCCGTTTTACAGAAGAGAGCACTGAGGGTTCTCTGGAGGGGGATACAGTTTCCCCTTGGCCGGAGGGAGAGTGGATACTCCACTGCCACCCCCAGACTGCCTCGCCTAATTGGGCTTCCCTCCTGCCGTATGGAGACAGCCTCTTTGTCAGCACCTGGACCATCGAAGGCATTGCTCAGTCCGTCGTTGTGGTCTCCTTGGAAGAAAGTGAGGCGGATGTCTGCGGGGACTGTGGCTGGGGCCTCCCAGAACTCCAGTGCTGAGACGTTGCTCCACAGCTGGAAGGCAGCGTGCACGGCGCCCCGGACTTCAGGCTCAGGCAGGCGCTCAGGCCAGTTCACCAGGCGGTAGGAGAGGTGCTGTTTGTACCATTTGTTGCCTGCCACCCAGAAAGGCCACATTGGTCACACTTGATCCCCGTGATGGGGGAAAGTCCCCTTACGTTGCAGGAGAGGGCCTCCCTCAGGGAGTCCCTGATCTCATGGGAAAAACAGACCCTCCTGAGGGAACCCTCATTCATGAGGCTTGCCTTGACCTGACCCTAGTGGTGTGGCCTGGGGATGGAGGAGATGTAGTCTTTGCCCAGCCAAAGTCCCTACCTGGAGGAGTCTTAACCCCTGTTCTGGGGCCTCATTGTTCTCCCCAGCCTGCACTGAGCCTGAAAAAGCTCTGCTGCTGGTAACAAATGTGCAGCTACAGGGAGGAGAGGCACTGAGGTCACAGCTGTGACTGCCCTCACCATTCTCCACCCCTCACATCCTCCTGCCACCTCCCAGAGGCTCCACCCTGCCCTGTCCAGTGCAGTGGGCCTGCAGATGGCCGACAACCCTAAGACCCATTTATCTGAGGTTGTTCCCTGCCCCCTTGCCCTCCTCCTCACTTCCTCAGGGACTCTGGAGAGCTCAGAGGTAAAAACAAATAAGAACAAAGGGTGTATTTTGTCACTGACCCAGGGAAAGTTTTCCGTCTCTGCTTAGTTAAGAGTTTCTCTCCCCATGCCCCAAACCTTGGTTCCTCCCTGAGGGCTGGGCCTCTGCCCTCTGCCCCAGCCCCAAGTCCACCATTATCACACACCGGGAACAGGACAGCTGGAAGTCCAGCTCTGGAGTTTCTCCTAGGCTCTTTCTGAGCCCTCCGAACTCCCGGGTTGAGACTGTGACGCCAAGAAGGCTTGCAGCTTGCCAGCAAAACTTCTGGGCCCGGGATGGGGTAACTGAGACCCAGGGGAAGGGTCCTGTCCAGAGTCACAGAATGAGTGAGTAGCTGGGCTTGGCCCTGACCCCTAATCTTTCCATTATGCCGGAGAAGCAGGCACATTTGCTGGGACTTACAGGCTTACAAATCTGCCCAGACAGCACTCCTCTGGTTTGAAGCAGCGACAGAGAAGGTGTCGGGAGCAGCACCCGTGGAAATGGAGGTGGGGTGTGTCCCTTCTCCCGCCCCTGAGCCAAGCTCCATTCAAGGCAATGCTGCTTTCCTGGGCCTGTGTGGCCTGGCACCCACCCAAGCCCTGCCTCTCAGGCAGTGACCAACTCTGAGGCAGGGAAGAGAGACAGAGTGATTCTCAGAAAGGGAGGGAGAGAGGGAGCGCCGGGGGTCCAGAGGCGTGGCTGATGGTTTATTACATACCAGAAATACTCTGCTCATTACTATAAAGTTTTTGCTGGGCACAGACTGGCCAGCCCTTGACTTTTTCTCACCCAGTGATGGGTGGCTGACTCTCAGACTCTTTCTCCCCCACCACAAACAAGTGGTGAGTTGACTTACTCTACTCTTGTGCAATTAGGGGGGACCTTCGCTTGATGGACAGGAAAGGGGAAGGCGGTCAATCATTTCATTTTAGGTAGTGAGTGAAGATGACCGGTCTCAGGATAGAGATCCTTTGCAAAACTGGTGTACGTATGTCTGTGTGTGTCTGCGTGCAAGGGTGGGCAGGTGCATGTATGTGTTTGGGGGAAGGACAGGGGTTGAACAGGAACAGGAATTGGGAGAAAATGACTACTTTCCTTGGGAGAAGGGCAAGGTCAGGGGTCATGGGTGCACTGCCAGGAAGGAAGGAACTGGGGGGGGCAGTAGCCCTCTCCCTCACTGTCCTCCTCCAGACTGGCGCTTAGAGAACATTCGCCACTTCAGGCCCCGTCCTAGATTGCGGGCTGGGCAAGGCTTCTAGGGCCACCCGCAGGTCCCAGTAGCACCTGGCATCGCACCTCCTACACCCTTGTTCCGAAGTCCTGAAGGGAAGAGGATGGGGAAAGCAGCTGGGGAGGGGAGGGGTGCTAGAACCTCTGCATGGGAAGGACCCTAGGAGCCTGACTCCTAGCAGGCAACTGATGCTGTAGAAAGAATATGGGTTGGCATCCCAGGACCTCTACTCACAAACTCACACAAATTATGGAAGATCCCCAAGCCTCAGTCTCTCCACCTGCAAAGTGGGTTAATAAGATTTACCTCATCGTAAGGTGTGAGGCTTAAATGCAACAGCAGTGCAAAGCTGCCTGACATGTGACAGGTGCTCAGTAAATATCTGTTCTCACCTCCTTCTGTCTCCCCACCAGATAAGCCATGTTCCCACCCCCCAATGCCCTCCAGCTCTGTGAAGGAACAGGGGAGCTTAAATATCAGGCAGAGAGGAGCAGGTACTGAGAATGAGGTTGGCTGATTGAATAAATAAATTTGTATTTAAAAATAAAAATACCATTATTTGTTGTTCATCTGAAATTCAGATCTAACTAAGCATCCTGTATTTTATCTGGCAACCAAGTGTCACTGTCCTCTGTCCAAAAGGGAGGCCCCAGTTAGGCTAGTGACAAGCACAGAAACCATTAGATACCTCTTTAGGACCTAGAAAAGGAAGACAGCCAAGAAAAGCACCCTCAGAACTCAGGCCCTGAGAGCAGCTGCACAGACTGTGTGTGTGGCTGCCCCATTTCCCACTGCCTCTCACAACAAGCCCTTGCACTCAGTAATCAGGGACCAACTCTCCTTTGCAACCTTCGAGGAATGGGGTCTCAGTGAGCAAAGTATGGCGAAGACTTGAACCCAGAACCTCCTGCTCCGGGGACCAAGTTCTCTGTTCTACGGGCACCTCATGAGCTCAAACCTCTCCTCTCCTACTTCACCCTGCCCTTCTGCTTCCCAGAAACCCAGTGGGAGGCAGGACATGTTGAGCCTGGGCCCCATCACCGACACCATGCTTTACCAGGAATGCCGTCAACAGAACGAGGCACCCAGAGTGGTTGGATGCAGAGATACATCAGTTTTGGATCAACAACGCTCGGGGATGCCCACCCTCTAACTTCCCACAGTTTCTTTATGGCTTGGTTAGGAAATGGAAACAAACTATGTATGTGCCTTTGGTCCTGTTCCTATGCATGTTATTGGTGAAAGCAGTTAATGATTAAAAGTACAGGGCCTCAAGTGCTCACAATTAGTAAATTAGTAAAACTAATTGTAGATGAAAACCTGACTGAAAAAAATAACCTCATCTTGCTAGCAATCTTGAAAACTGCAAAAATTGATCCAAGAAAATTAGACTTAGTAAGAACAATTGTAATACAGGAATTACACGCGGCAAAATTTGTTATTTGCGAAAAACCAATGGAAGCATCAAATCTCTTCATATATCTCAGGTCTGTCTGTAATATTTTGATTCAGGAAAATAAAAAAGATGAAGAGGAGAAGGAGGAGGAGGACTGTGACTGCAGCTCAGTGGTGGAGCTCCAGGCCCTGGGTTAGATCCCCAGCGCTGTAAAACAAACCGACAAAAGACAAAAGGGGGTGTTTTAGCTCAGCGGTCCCACTGCCTGCCTTGAAAGTTCAAGGACCTGAGTTCGATCTGATACCAAAAAAAAAAAGAGAGAGAGAAGAAAACAAAGCCACAGAAAGAGAAAAACACAACAACAGATACTGTACTACGTAAAATGTGTTCTGATGAAATGCTCAGAACAGGAAAACTCTCAGAGGCAGAAAGTAGATTAGTAGTTGCCAGGGGTTGCAAGGAGGGGAAAATGAGGAATAACCGTTAATGGACATGGGATTTCTTTTTGGGGTAATGAAAATGAATTAGATGGTGGTCATGGTTGCACAATTCTACAAATATTCTAAAAACCACTGGGCCGAACACTTTGAATGGATAAATCGCATGGTATGTGAATTCCATCTCAATAAAGCTGTTAAAATGTCCTATGAACAGAATAACAGATTAATGAACCCCACCTTTGTCGACTCACTGTTATAAAAATAATCGATTCGGGTGAAGATAACTTTAGTAAAAAAATAAATGAAAAGTGTTGGCAATAGTTTAACTGTCCTGCATAGGAAAATGGATCTAGGAATTAAGTGGGCTTGATCTGGAAAATAACTTGTACAGCGAAACTTCATCAGTGGGAGTAACCCCGATTTAAATATCTGTATCCACAAACCACGGATACCCTGAGTGAAAAGGTCCTACTGGTCCACCCTTCCCCTGCCTCGGGAAGAGAGGGTACTGACCAAGCCCCGTCCCGGACTGAGCTGTTTTTCTGGCCATGGGCTTCAGGACATTGGTCCCCTCTCCGCCCCCCGTCCAGCTGGGTTCCAACAGTGCTCACCTTGCTTTGTAAAGCGTTTCCTGCGCCTCATTTTGGCCCGGCGTCCAGCAAACGGTGCACTGATCCGCTCTGCCCAGGTTGCATGACTGTCAGTGTCTGCGACCCCGCAGCGGGGCCGTGTCATCTGACGCAGGGTGGCACGGTCCAGTACACCACTGACAGGCAGTCGAGACACCCACTGGAACTCTCTACCAGGAGGAACAGAGATGAAGGACCACAAAGGGAGGGACGAGGACCATCCTCCTGGGACGTGGCCGTTCAGGACAAGGGAGCCTGTCAAAGCTTTGCACCCCACACCCTCTGGTTCTCCCCGTCCCTCCATCCTACCTGATGGCATTGCTGAATCGAGCGGAGGAGAGACCTTTGGAGACCTGATTATTGAGGTAGCCATACTTCTCCAGGAATGCCTGTGGGAGAGAGGAACAACAGCCTTTCCTACCATGTGGCATCTTTCCCCCTCTCCTGGTATCCAAAATGTCATGGCACACACATCCTGCTCAGTTTCACCTCTTGTCCCAAGAGAAAACTCTAGCAGAAAGAGTCCTGGAATTAAAGTCAAAAGAACCTGGACTCAATTCCAGGCCACCAGGACTAGATGGATGATCTTAAGCAAGTTGCTCGATATTTCTGAATATTTGGTTTTCTTACCATTTTATGGCACTGCTAGAAACCTAGCAAGGCACACCAGACAGTTATGGGCTCTGGGGTCAGGCTGGCCTGGGTTTGAATCCCAGCTAGCACATTGTTTCTCTATAATAGTACTTACTCTTCAGGGTTACTTCTAAGGACTGATCACAGTAACACTTCTAAAGCACTTAACACAGTGCCGGTCGCATTGGAAGGACCACACAGAGTGGCTAATATTGTGTGTTGTGTAAATGCACCATTCATCTCTATCAATTTGTCCCAGAATAGCTAAGCTTTCTAGGAAGTGCTAAGGTATTGGTCAGAAGTGGATCGGGTACTAGCTCTGCCGTGCCAGCCTTGAAAATTACTCTTTGACTCTGGTTTCTTCCTCGACAGTTCTCACCCCAAATGCAGACACAGTTAAGGCTCTATGACAATAAGTACATTCACCCTCAATCTTACAAATGATATAAAAACTTGGCTTTCTAGAGATGTATATTTCAATTAGAAACACTCAGCTTCTTTCATTCGTTAATTCATACGGTGTGCCAGGTGCAAAGGTAATTAAGACATCTCTAGAGAAGCTTATCCACTAGTGGTTAGAGACAGACAAAGAAAGGTAACAAGTAAGTAGGGATAAATTGGTGCTATGAAAAAAAGAAACCACACGATGCGATTGAGAATAATTTAGAAACTCGATAAGTAACAAGATGAAGAAAGACCTCATAGGCATAGGTGTCCATGCCTGTATTCCAGCTACCTGGGGGGCCACGACAGGAGCATTGCAAGTTCAAGGCCAGCCTGAGTGAGACCCTGTCTCAAAATGAATAAATAATAAAGAATACAGTGATAGCACTCGCGTAACATGCACCTGGTTCTGGGTTCAATCCTCAATACCATACCCCATACACACACTCCAGAGAAGCAACTATCTGATGTGCATCCTAAAGAACAAGAGGCAGCCAGCCAGGCAGACGCAGATGCAAAAGCCCTGAGCTGGACGTGACACTGTCTTGGCTAGGAAACGGAGGGAAACAGCGTGAAGAAGCTGGATGGGAGGTGTGGGCCAGGGTAAGAAGCGCACACTTATTTAATCTTGCTGATGGATTAACTGGGGAACGAAAGAAAGAGAGGAAACCGGGATGGCACCTAAGATTTTGGTGCCTCGGAAGGTCCTGCCATATGTTGTCTGAGGACACCTAAGGGAGGGACAGATCAGGGAGGGTGAGCTTGAGGAGTGTGGGGGTGTCAAAGAGGTGCCAGCTGTATGATCCCAGACCTCAGCGAAGCAGCAGTCTTTTTGTGTGAAATGATGTAAATCTGTGGCCCTGGTGAGATCCCCCTGGGGAATTAGGATAATTAGAGGTTGTCCCGCAGTCCCAGGGCCCTTTAGTGCCCACCTACCCTCCCGTACCTGGAAGCTACTTTCCCAGTGACCAAGTTCTCTGAGACCAGTGGAGAGAAATGAGTGACTCATGCTCCTCACCTATCACCAGTCCTACTCTCGGGGAGACGATGCCCTTGGCCTCCTGCTTGCCTGTCTCACTATTACGGCCCCATGAATGTCACCGCGGATAAAAAATAAAGTCACCTAAGCAGCTTAGTTCCTATACAGGCAGGGTCTCTTCATTTTCACTCCTGTGTGGTGTGTTATTAAACAGATAATTTTCTGTCTGTCTTGTTCTCTTCCCCTCACTATTCTTTGCTGGATCCTTTTTTTTTCCTCATTGAGTTTATTGGTACATTTTAGGGATACAGTGCAGTTACATTCATTATTGGGATCTTGCACCTTTACCTGACAGGTCTTGGTTCTCATTTTTTCCCCTTGTCCCTGCCCTCCCTTCTCCCCCTCCTCCCCTCTCCATTTACAAACACTTTATTTCCATTTTTTCACTCTCTCGTATTTTTTTCTTTTCCCTTATTCCCTTTCCCCTACCCTTCCCACTTTCCCCACACCTTTAGCCCTTTTCTTCCTATTTCACATTGTCAGTTATCTCATTAGGATCTTGTGTACTATTATAGTTTATTCACACCAGAGAAACTATTCGGTATTTACACATGTGTGACTTATTTATTTCACTTAGGCGTATATCCACAATAGCTTTGCTGGATTTCTTAAAGCAAAATAAACCCAAGCATAGCCGTTGCCTTGCAAAGAAGACATAGCTGGAAATGAGGCCAGACGCCAAGAGCCAGAGTTGGCAAGCCCTGGAGTCTCTGAGTCTCCAGCCGTCTTGTGGATTTCATTTACAGCTGTCTTCAGCCACCTGTACGGAAGCCACTTCCACAAACTAATGCCACAAGGAATCCTCATTTTAGAGAGCAGAGCACTTTCCAAGTCGTTTTATTGTTTTTCTGTATTGATCTATGAGCATGTGCACACTATTGTTTTTCTTTCTTTCCCTTTTTATTTTTTATTTATTTATTCTAGGAGCCTCCATCTCTCCGCCCACAATGTGAGAATAAGATGAATCTCACAGGATTCCCAGAACTAAATAGAACGTAGAGCCTAGCGCATAGTAAATGCTCAATAAACCATGGATCTAGTTGATTCGTGTAAGAGGGAACATTAACAACAGGCTTCTGGAATGCAGCCCCCATGTAATGTGGGAACTGCTCTGAACAAGGCACTTATACTTTTTCTCACTTCGGAGGCCTCTAACTCATATTTGCTTTACTTCTGCCTGATGCCTGTTCTCCTTCCTGCTGCCTCCCCTTCCAAGGCTGGATAAGAGGCTTTCTAAGGGAAGCCAGGGAATTAGCATTTCCTTAGAGGCAGTTTTGCTGGGTAAATGACTTGGGAGAGTCCAGGTCACAGGTTCACCTGGCTGGCACTCCCCTGTTCCTCTCCCGGGAACCCGCCCAGCCCTTATCAGGTTAGTTGGCTCAGGTTCTGGAACAGTGAAGCCTCGGACAGAGGGGGAGGGAGGGGAAATTGTCTGGCGGTGCCTCCCGTTTCCTGGCTGGGCTGCTGTGCCTGGCACTCTGGCAAGCAAGGTAGGGTGGAGTGTGGCTTCGGGGGCCGTCGGAGGGGAAGCTCTGAGGTCTGGGACCCTGCTGTTGTATGGCAGAGTTGAATTCCCAGTAAACAGAATGAATATGTGCCCAAGGACACCAGCCAGAGGCGCTGAGAGGGTGAGAAATGACATTTTTAAGAATCTGACATTGTATATTCCATAAAGCAATGAAATACTTTAATGGGCAGTATCAGATGTATGGACTCTCAAACTTATGTGTAGCACATGTATATTAAAATTCCTGACCAGCAGAAAAGTTCCCCTTACTAGTGTCTGTGCTGAGTTCTCTCAAGTGCTGCGGAATGGGGCTAAGCTGTGCTCCTGAGGAAGCTGGCCAGACCCCCTCTGCTCCGCTTGCTGTGCCTCAGTTAACCCCGCAAGGGTGAGAAAAATGCCAAAATCTGTAGCGAGAAAGCAGGAGTGTGGGGTAGAGGGAATCCCCGGAGAACCAGGCAGAGGACCAGCTCTCGTCTCAGTGCGGTGCTGCTTGCCTCGGGAGAGCCATTTCTCCCATAAGCTTCCATTTTGGGGGCTTGCCCTGGGGACTCTACGCTCCGCCTGCCCCACATCGAGGAGGCAATGTCCGGGCTGCTCCTCTCAGCTTCAGATTCGAGCCCATGGTTCTCCTCTGTTCTCCACTCGGCCTCTCTCCTGGGCAGCCCTGGGCTTGAGCTAAAAGGAGCACCAGTTGGAGGGCTGTGCCCCTTAGGTGACTCACCCTGCTCTGGCCTGAAAGTTGTGCCAACATGCCTTGCCCACTTGGTTAGGGATGGGGCCATTTTCCTGGCGAGTCACCTCTGAAAGTCCCTGGGAGGGGCTGTGATTCTGGCAGAAAATAGTTCCCCTAGGGCCATCCAGCGAGGTGGGACTGGAACTCTGGGGGTTCTAGTTCTGCATTGGCCCTGACTTGTCGTGGGAGGGTGTGTAGGGCCCAGCCCATTTAGTGCCTGAGGGAAGAGGAAATGGTAGCCATTTCTGAACCGGCAAGACTAGCAGTGAGGTGTTAGCAATGAACTGAGCCACTGGATTGGCAGGGCAAGAGTGCCGGACTGAGAGACCTGAGTTTCATTCCCGTTGCTGCTGCTGTGTCCTCAGACAAATGCCGTCCTCTTTGGGCCTCAGGCTCCTCTTTTATAAAGTGATGGGGTTGGATTAGAGTGCGTAGTTACACTCCATCTCTCTTTTAGCCTGGCTTCTGACTGACTGACTAGATGTGAGAGCTATGGTGAAGCTACTTAACCTCTCTATGCCCCAAAGTAGAAAATGAGGGAGAGAATGTTGCTTTACTTTCTCACAGGAGCAGCATCATGAGCATTTAATAAGAAAATGTTTGGGGAAAGTTGGGGACAGTTGTCTTATTAAAAATGTTATTTTTGTCAGGTGTGCACACCTGTAATCCCAGCACTATGGAAACCTGAGGCAGGAGAATCACAAGTTTGAGCATAGTTGGGTAACTTAGCAAAGCAGCAAGACCCTGTCTCAAAATTTCAAGAGGGGCTGGTGATATAGCTTGGTGGAAAGGCTATGGGCTCAATTCCCTGGCACCAGAAAAAAAAGTTATTTTTACCTATGGGTAATAAAGCTTTATTGCTGGAAGGGACCAGATGGCCTCAAAGTCATGGTGATCCTCCTGCCTCAGCCTCCCAAGTGCTGCGATTACAGGCATGCATCACCCATGCCCAGCTTGGAAGGGACTTTTGGTAGCTGAGTCTGGGTCTCATCCTCCTAGACATCCTCCACATCAAAGAATTTCAGCAGCAGAA